AGTGCCTTTCTGACCAGGATTTGATCAAACGCCTATTTTAACTCAGACTCTTCTCTTTCTCCAAATCAAGGAAAGGCATACAAGTTTTTTTCTAAAATATGGGTTACATGTTCTCTGTTGATCTACTCTGCCCTTATAGTCAGACAGCAGCCATACACAGTATGTAACTGAATGAGGACAGTTGTGTCATGATAAAACTTTATTCATAAAGCCAGGCAGACAGTCCAGTTTGCTGACCCTTGAAACTGTCACTAAGACAACTAAGAAGACAAAAATACCAATGAGTATTTGTATTTAATTATCCAATTAAGGAAGACTCAGAACTGAAAGCTCTGTGTTGGGACTTGGGGTACTTACTGATTTGGTCACAGATTGATCACCTTGCTTCACTGACACAACAGAGAACTATGTATGACTTGCCTTTCCTAAGCCTGGCTATGAGAAAGTCAGACCTCACAAAACAGGCTCTTCAGAGAACCCCTGTTCTGAAATAGAAAAACTATCATTCACCATTTTATAGAAATAAAGAATGAGGAGTGCCTCAGCAAATGATAACACATTACCATGTGCCTCACCAGATGGTAATATAAGGCCTTGTAGTGGAAGGAATCAGGGCAGGACCTCAGGACAATGATCTAATTCAAGTTCCGCAATGAAGTTGTTCAGCTTCCCCGTGTTAAATGCAGATGACACAAACGTCAAAAAGCTGTATAGCTATGAAAAAATATTCTTAAAAACCTGAATTCCTCTATTAACATGAACTTTGACAATTTATGATCAAACAGACAATCTCGAGTAAAGATTTGGAAGGATCTAGATCTACACCTATCTTTTAAGAAATTATTCCTGGCATAGGCAAGAATCTTGCCCCAGATCAAAAAAAGTCTCACAGACAAATCAAAAGTAGTCATTTAAAGTTCTGGAACCAAAAGTCAAAAAAGTAGCTCCTTAAGAGGGGTAGAGTAGTTCATATTCCCTCCATGGTTTCAAGAGAAGCAACACACACGCACACATGACAAAAAAACAAAGTATGTGCCACAGACCATTAGGAAAAGTGTATGGTGAGGAAAACTATCAGCTTTTTAGAAGTCCAGACCAATGTCTTCCTTATGAATTGTTTCTATTTCTTTCTACTCTCTCTCCTTCAGAAGGTTTTGCAAGGATCAAACAAGATAGATATGAAAGTGACAGGCAAACCATTCGGCCTTATAAGAATGTAAGAGGCATTATAAGAATCATCATCATCATTACTACACTCATCACTGAACTGCTACTGCACTAACAACCAATTTGGGGCACACAATCTTTCTAATAAGACCCTAATCTCCTGGAAGGGAGATGTTTCCAGTCTAACACAGTGAAAAGCACCCTTATTAGGAACATGGCCACTCAAGTGCCTTTTGAATTGAACTGAAATCGACTTGAGAAAACAGCAATTTAAATGAATAAATAAAAGGATGAACAATAGACTCACAATGCACATTAGCTCTGAATTTTAAGGTGACTGCCTTTTTTGCCTTTTTTGTGTTAGCAGGTCAGCATCTGATAAATACCCCCTTCTTCCCTGTTTGATCTCCCCATAATATCAGATGCAGAAAGAAAACTCTGGTGTTACTGTTAGTTACGGGCATAAACTCTCGCTGAAAATGACACACAGAAAGACAACAGAATGATCTGTGGGGATGCGGGAGGGTTGTGCGGGGAGGAGAGGGCAGGGAGGAAAGGACAGACTGGTAGAGCCAGAAGACAAGATAGAGCCAATAAAGAAGGTGGAAGCAGAATGCAGAGGGCAAGTTTCCAGAGACCTGGGAATCTGTTAAGAAATATCTCCTGCAGTAACGGGCCGTCAGTAAAGTGCTGAGCCTTGATTTTATAATGTGTGTATTCCTGTAATACCAGCTACACAAAATTATAAAAGCCACATTAATCAATAGTAACTCAGAAAATTCTTAATTCATAAACACATTTTCAAGGCAATCAGAACGCACTCTTCTTAGCAAACAGGCAAAGGAGAGCACATTCTCATTGTTCCAAATTGGTCTCCTCAATACTTCCTGTCACTTTCCACTCCTTCTTGACTAACACTGTTTCAAAAAGCACATTCCCTAATAAGGGATCGCTTTTAAACTTGGGGTCCAGCTTGGTATATTCGGGAAATAGAAATAGACACGTTCCGAAAATGGTATTGCCACTGATCATTGGTCTAATACGGATACCGGAATTTCAAAGTGGTAAGCTTATTTTTTTTTAAAAGTAACTGCCTAAAAGTCCATACAAAACCACGAGGTTAGCCCTTTCAACATCCTTAGGGGCTGAACCAGAAGACTGGACCTCTGGCAGGCAAAGCCAGTGACTTTTAATTCTGGTCATCTCCACAATTCCCTTTATTAAAAAATGTAAAATACTTTTAGGAGGAGGAGGAAGTTGGAACAAAAATACAGAAAAATACAAGATCACAAGTACAAAGTCCTCTAAGCACACATTACTTGAAATTCTCATAGTCTAGTCATGTATTTGTAAGTAGTGACTTTATGTGGGCCCCAACATAACACCGAAAAATCTGCAAAAAGTCGTATCCTTCACTAAAAATGTGTGTTTGGCAAGACGAAGAACAATAATACATTCTTGTCTTCTGGTATCATTTTCTGATGCAAATATTGCCTTGTTTCAAATGTGATATTTAACAAGCCCTAAAGAATAACACTTTTAAATGTTTCTAATGAATATGGTATCAACATTCTAAAGGAATAACTGTCCATTCTATCTTGCTCATTCTTCTATTTGAAATCGCTAATATAATTTCCCTCACTTCTGGTCATATTAATTTTTTAAAAACTCTCTATTAATCTTATTTTTCCTTTAGGTAAAAATTATTACCCTGGGCTACCAAAAAAGCAGCTTCTGCTCTTCACGTTAAAAAAAAAAAAATACTGCTTGTCCACCATGCTTGTCTTAGAAAATTTAGAAGTCTCACTAAAGGGCTGAGGAGGAAAACTGCTGGGAATGTTCACAGATACCTGATTTTACAAGTTTTTGTGGAAAGAGCTCGCCTTTAGATTAGTGTTACTCAGTGTTTATGAGGGTTGTTTGTCAAGACAAAAATAAGGTACCTCCTCCCCACAAATTAAAGAATCAAGTTACAATCCATTATTTCATTTCTGATTGTTTTTCTTTGTAGTAAGTGGGAAAGTGGATACTGGATAAAAGTCTTCCTTGAGCTAAAAAGACTCCACATTAAAGGCTCCAATTAGCTATAAATCAGTTGTCTTTCCTACTGAGGGAGAACAAGAGAGAAAAGAGAAAGGGGGTATTTAGGGAATAGAAACTGGAAGAGCTTCCAAATTATTAAATTCTGAAAAATGCACCTTTTGCATACCTAAAAGTTCTTTCGGAGGTTGTTAGGCTAATCCCATCAAAAATAAGACTAACATCAAACCTTCCCAAATATCAGGGTTAGGTCTTTTCTCATGTGTAGACCTTCCGTTTTAAGACCTTTAAAAAGAGCCTGAAGAGGTTAGAGACCCTCATAAAACAAAACTTTTAAGCTGCATGCTTTCCCGGCTCGTTCCTAATCCCAGAGAAGTGCCACACATTGGCACTATTGTTATGCAAACAATGCCTAAAAGGCTATAACCATTAACGACCTCTCATTAAAACGGCTTTGAAAAATTTGTCACACCATCTAAAAAAGCTAGCAGGTACATTAAATCTATCTAAATCGACATTCAAAACACAAATCGCCCGGATTTGTAATCTCCAACTCAATGCGAGTGAAATCTCACTATTCTGATGTTGTTTCTTGCACATCTCTTTCAACCATGAAGCCAGAAGTAAACAATTTACTTCTCTACAAGATGTATCTTGTAAAAAGCATGATGGGATATATCTTTATTAGCCGTTAACCATATTGTGTGCGCGTCTATACGTCCGAGTTAACTGAGAGAAGTCTGGTGTAGAAATGCACCGAAAGGAACAGAAAATCAACCCAGACAACTACAAAATGAACTCCAAGAAATGTGGTTTTGAATCCCATCTCTCTGTCCCCACCTCCCTGAAAATGTGGTAACATGGCAATTCCCCCCGTGTTTGTAAGCGATCATTTTTTTCCATGCCGAATTTGTGGCAAGTAAATTCAATTTATCTTTAGGTAGCGGACGCATATTCTTCCTTCACGCGAGGCAACCACAACAACAACAAAGTTCGTTATAAAAAAAAAAAAAAAATTTAAGTTCTTCGGTTCAAAATCGAACATGCTAACAAATTTCAAAACTTTTAAACTTTCCCAGGGAAACTGCCACTGCCTGCAAAATTCACATGAAACGCTGACGTTGGATCTACCGCACTCATCAGTCAGGTTTCCGTGAAATTTGTCGCGCTCATGTCGTGACAATTTCCTACGGGAAAGCCCCCCTCGGCACCCTCCGGGCTGCGGAGGACCCGATTGGGACCAGCAGCCGAGCGGCCCCCGAAGCCCGAGGACGAAGCAGCGACGGCCCAGCTGCGTGGCCAACCTGGCGGGGAGCCCCGGCCTCCGTCCGAGAACACGAAGCGGGTCCGACGCCTTCCCCGAGGAAGTCGGGGCCGGGGAGGTGGCGCAGGTCCCGGGCAGGAGCCGTTGACGGCGGCCCCTCGGCGCCGCGCTTCTGCTTAGGGCAAGTCCCCAGGGCGTCCCGAGGCTGCGGCGGGGCTTCCAACGGCCCGGTCCGAAAAACGGGCAGCGCGTCCCTGTGCTGCGCAAGGGTGACAAGGTGGCCCCGGCGAACCCGGCCCCCGACCCCCGGCCCCCGGCCCCCGTCACGCCACCCTCACTCGCCGGAGACACAGGGAAGAGCACAGAAGCTTCGAGAAAGGCTCCGCAGACGACGGGCGCTCGGCAGCCGCGTACCTTGGTGTACTTGATTTCGAGGTTGGGCGTGGGCGACGGCAGGAGGTGCAGGGACGCCATGAGCGCGGCCGCGTCGGCCTTCACCTCCCCGGGCATCTCTATCTTGCTGGAAGTCATGCTGGCCGGCCGGGTGTCGCTCGCCCTCGGCGCGGGGCGGCGTGGCGCGGGGCGGTGCGGTGCGGGCTGTGCGCGCGGTCCGCGGCCCGGGGGCGCGCTCGCCTGTATATAGGCAGGTGTCAAGCTGGGGCGCTTCTTATTGGACGTGAGGGCCCGGGCGCGGGGGCTGGTCCGTCCTACCTAGGACGCCCGGCGCAGCCCCCATTTACATAAAGCCCGCGCCACGCGGCCCGGACAGCGGCGCCCACGGTCAAGTCCGCCCGGCGTCCCGCCCCGCCCACCACCCCCGGCCGCGGGGACCAGCCGACGCCCACGCCGCTTCCACGGTCCTCGACGGCTGCCGCGTGAACCTGCGCCGCGGCCCCCGGGCCTCCCGGTCCTCCCGGTCCCTGAGGCAGCGCCGGCGGGGGTCGTGGCTCCCGGAAGCGGAGCGGGCAGGGGCTGCCTCGGGGCGGAAAGCTGCCGGCAAAATCCGGGCTGCGGAGAACGGCTCCCGGGTCGCCCACGTCCCCTCCCATCCCCGCCCCAGGGCCCCCCGAACCCCGTCCCTCTTCTCTTCCGGGGACTCGGGGGGCGCCCTCCGTTCTCCTCCTCCGGGCAGCGGCGCCCTCTCTCCCCCGCCTCCCCGACTCCCCTCAGCCGGGCCGAGGCGCGCGGTGACCGGAAGGGAGAGGAGAGGCGGCGGCGGGTGCGAGTCCCTCGCCCTGCGCGCGGAGTGAGGATCCCCGCGAGCGCCTCGGCGCGGGGCGGCCCTGGCCCGGCATCTCCCGCCCGGCGTCTCCCGCCCGCTGCTGCCCTCTGCCGGCCGGGACCGCGCTGTGGCCGGCGGCAGGATGTGGGCCTGGGTTCCGGCTCCTCCGGGGAGCTGCGAGCTTCGTGGGCTCCCCTCGTCCTCTTGGGGTCCCCGCTTCCGGCCCTTTCCCCTCCTCTCCTCATCCCCCTCAAGGAAACGCTACTTCGTTTTTCTCTCGCCCGTCACACACTCGCAGCAGCCACGGTCCCGCCCGACCTCAGGCTCCTCGCTTGGCCGTCCCTTTGCGGTTGAGCGTCCAGCTCCCTAACCCCGTCACGGAAACGTGTCCGAAGTCGGACACGCCGCCCTGTCACCTGCCGGCCAGCCCGCAGCTGCGAACCAGTGAGCAGAGACCCCGTGGGTTCAACAGGGCCGCACGGAAAGGACGTGGAGTGGAAGGCCCTTCCCTGCCTCACTCCGCCTTCCCAACGCAAGCTCGATAGGGGTCCATGGAGAGACGCTTCGGCTACACCGCCAGGCGACTCTGATCCACATGTCGTTGTGGTTGTGTTTTAACAGACTTTGGTGATTCTCACCCTTTTGTGTTTGAACTCAGGCCGGGGGGCAATGACGTCATCCCAGCTCACTGTCAACTTGAAGTACGGGGCTCAGGTGACCCACCTCAGCCTCCCGAAGTGCTGGGATTACGGGCGCCAGCCACCGCCCCGCCGGATGCTCGTCTTAAATGCCATTTTCACGGCCGCCTGAATCCCGTTTCTTCGGGTGTTAAGAAAACCTCAAACATCCGCCAGAAAACATCTTTCCTTAGATACGCTGAGTAACTAAAACTGTCTAACGCTCAGCGCCCAGACGCTAAGCGATCGTGGAAACAGGCAAGAAGACTTCATTTCAGCATTAGGCCATAGAAATAAGCTCCAGCATCTCAGGACCCACAGTGACCTAAGTGAGTCGTTTTCACGGGGGAAACTGCAGACCCGAGTTTGGGGAGTTGAGACATCTCTACTCACAGGGAATTTCTATGGCCAAAACTTATGACAATGACAGTATATGCTCATAAGATATACTCCTATCAAAGCCTTAGAAGCTTAGAGATACAACTGAGAAATAAAGTAAAATCTTAGAGTTCACTGAGGAGGAGGGGGACGTTCAGAAAAGGGGAACAATGATACCTGTGGAAGACGCATCACTATGAGAGGCTGTGTGGGAAACATGAAGAGGAGCCTTAACAACACGACCTGGGCGCTCCTACTGCTTGGGAAAGCTGACCTTTGGCTGGAGCTTAAGGGAGAAGGGAGCCTTCAACAAGAGCAAAAAGAACACTATAGCAAAGGTATAGAGGCTGGGCTTGGGGCCTCACTCCTGTAAGCCCAGCACCTTGGGAGGCCAGGGCGGGTGGATCACTTGAGGTCAGGAGTTCGAGACCAGCCCAACCAACATGGTGAAACCCCATCTACTAAATACAAAAATTAGTTGAGTGTGATGATGGGTGCCTGGAATCCCAGCTACTCAGGAGGCTGAAGCAGGAGAATCTCTTGAACCCGGGGGGCGGAGGTTGCAGTGAGCTGATATTGCGTCATTGCACTCCAGCTTGAGTAACAAAAGTGAAACTCCATCTCAAAAAGAGAAAAGAAAAAGTATAGAGACGTGAGACTATGCTTTTGGGGACATCAAATGTGGTTGGAGGAGCAGCTGTCAGGGCAGTTAAGTACAGGTCATAAGGATCTTAATGCTTGAGATACAGAGAAGCCATCAAAAGATTCCAAGGAAAAGAAAAAGCAAACCTGCATAGATTGACCAGATAAATAACTATTGTCAGGAAAAACTATCACAAACTGGAAACCAGGGGTTTATATTCTTAAAGTGTAAGATGTGGCGGTTTACCCTTGACCCACCTCTTGCTCGCTACCTCCAGTTCCATCACCAGGCTCAGAAATCTGTCTCGGAGAAAGGCACAGTCGGTATCCAAGAATGATGCAGTTACTAGCATTGCCACACAGTGAAGTAGGGCAAATAGATTTTCATCTCCTTCAGGCAGGAAAGGGAGGACGTCTTTGTTTCTTCTCGTAAACATCTCCAAAAGGTCTAGTGCAGTAACAGATGACAGCTGGTTTGAACTGTCCCTTTATGGCTCCTTTTGTGTGATACTTATTTTCCAAGTGGCCAGTCAGATGATCAGCACAGGGACTGTCTTGTTTCTCTCGTGCTTCCTCAGTTCCTCAAAGAGTGTGGAACACATAACTATTTTATAATAATTTTTGTTGGTTAATTTGAGCAAAAGACAGCACTTCTGACAACTTCTTTCACTCTCTGATTAAGGAACATTTTCTCTTCTTGATCTTAAGCTTAGTTTCGCTTTTCCTCTGAGCTTTTCTGTCCATGTATTTCTAAGGTTTTCTTCTTCATATAGATCATCCTTGGAAAAATAAATAAATTTGTTCTATCTTCAGCTCAGCCATACTTTGTTCAAGCTTTTTTTTTTAGGCAGAGTCTCACTCTGTTCCCCAGGCTGAAGTGCAATGGCATGACTCCCAGGTTCAAGCGATTCTCCTGCCTCAGCCTCCTGAGTAGCTGGGATTACAGGCACACACCACCACACCCAGCTAATTTTTGTATTTTTAGTACAGGCAGGGTTTCACCATGTTGGCCAGGCTGGTCTCCAACTCCTGACCTCAAGTGATCCACCCGCCTCGGCCTCCCAAAGTCCTGGGATTACAGGTGTGAGCCACCATGCCTGGCCATAGTTTAAGCCTTTTAAATCAATGTGGGAACAAGATTTAGCGGAAAAGAAATATGACTTACAAATGCTTCTTCAGAGTTCATCTTCTTGGTTTCAGCTTGTAAGATTTACATGGGTATTTCTTTCAAGGCTGCCTTAACATCTCTTCTGACATTATTTCCCCTTCTCTTTCTTTTGTCATCTTGTTTTAGTATTTTCCCATTTCCTCCATAGATTTCACAACAGTTAAGAACAGTCTTTGTCCAGATGCTGTGGCTTGCACCTGTAATCAGCCCTAGGTGGGAAGATTGCTTGAGGCTAAAAGTCCAAGACCAGTCTGGACAACATAGCAAGACCCTGTCTCTACCAAAAAAAAAGAAAAAGCCAGGCATGGTGGTGCATTCCCATATCCCTAGCAATTCAGGAGGCTGACAGAGAAGGAGCGCTGGAAGCAAGAGTTTGAGGTTATAGTGAGCCGTGATCACACCACTGCCCTCCAGCCTGGGTGACAGAGTGAGAATGGGCCTCTAAAAATAAGATAGTCAACTACCTTTAGATTTCTGACAATCTGAATTGCAGTCTTTTCTTCCCAATTTGGTTAAGAAACTGATTTTTCCCACCCTTACAGTGTTTCTCCTTCCACTCTCCCCCATCTCTAATTATTTATTGTTTAGGACACATCTTGTTTGAAAGCCCTTGCAAAAGGGAACCTAAGCTGGAGCGCGCTCTGTTTATTTCCTTATGAAAACAATTTATTAGGCCTGGTGGAGCCAATATCCTGGAGTTGCAGAGGAAGAAAATAAATTCTTGCCTCATATTTCCTCACCTAAATAATAGAATGCAAAGTTGTAATTTTAAGGCATCAGCTTTATGTGAAGTTTGGTTTTAAGGTATGAAGCCGTAACAATTTGGCCTTCTTGTTAGTTGCAGTTAAGGAGAGGAAAGTATTTGTTGAGAACCATACTTTAGAAATCAATGAAGGGAACGAAATGCAGCTCAAAGATCTCTCTCAAAGAAGATACACTTTTGATTTTGACAAGAACTGACTGTTCTGCTTGGACGTCAAGCTTCTCTGTGTAGGGGCTACTTCAGCCTCAGGTGGTCCTGCTTAACTGCTTTCCTGTTCCCATTACTAACCCCATGACAGCCCACCTTCCCTAACTGATATACTTGCATTTTAATTTATCTTGAAAAATAAATCACACATTATAGCATTTCCCTCTTCTGGGCTAATTGAATCAGTTCCTTAAATGTCTCTATGTCTAATGATTTGAAAGAGGCACATTGTTTGAAATATTTAAAAAATTAGGGCCCTTAGGTTGTGTGCAGAATGATCTCAGTGCTTATTTCAGATATAAGTGTTTCCTAATGATCTCATTCATCTCATATGGGATATGCCTGGCCACTTTATATGAAATGTTTCCTGAAAACTCTAACAGGAAAGCTTAATGCAAGGTATATTTATAGAAAAATGGTATTTAATTTATTAACAAAAGCTTATAAAGAGCTATACATATTTTTATCCAGAAATGCTTAATGAAGTATTTGGGACCCATTATGAAAACTTCTATAAAATAAAGCCACTTATATTTTTATTTAACTTGAATATTAACTTTTTATGTGAGATCTAAACTCTCATTTAATTATCCTTTTCCTTCTAACATCCAGAAGAAAAGAGGCTGAGACTGTGGCGTTTATGAACCATAAAAATTCCCTCGATATTAAGTTCCTCATTTCTTGATGTGGCCTCCGGTCAATATATTCTATGACAAGAGGTGTTTGGCGTTGCACAGAGTAGAGTCCTTATTGGTTAGGACTCAAAAAACTATGTTTTGATACAAAACACAATTCTTTTCCTTTAGAACATATCCTCCACTTTTCGGGGACCCCAGGAGACCATTTTAAAAATGGGAACTAGATTTGCCTTTGTTGTAAAGCCCAGTTGCATTTCACGTATGTTCTAGAAGCTTTGGGTACCAGGATAAGTTCAGTACTTCATCAATAATCACGCTTAACAGACACAGGAAGAAATGACAATTGCAGCTACACAACCTTTTCTGAAGGGCCTGAGGGAAAAGGCATTGGCTCCCCCTGCAGCCGATGGTGTGTATGTGCAAGTGAGCATTGTCCAAACGACAGTGGCTTGGATTCCACGTGTTTTTATCTGATAGTGGTGAGAAATCATTGAAAGGTTATCATTTAAATTTGAATTTGTCAGGATTAAAAAAATCTCCTAGAGTCAGACAAATTTTAGATTTTCGTTCTTTTAGGAGGACTTTCTTTTGACTTACAAGAAAAGAACAAAAGGTTTCTTAGCCAAATTTACCATAGAAAGTGCGATACTGAGAACACTGTGGTCCACACTCAGGTCGTGTTCCAAGCACTCTGTCACCGAGGAGGTCACATTAGTGTGTCTCAGATTGGAGGCTACTGTTTTTATCATGTTCATGAGGAAGAATTATTAATAGACGGATTACAGAATTTATTTCTCTTCTCACCCAGATAAGCACTTGGCATGCAAGTAAGTTGTCTGCTTTTCTTCTTTCTTTCACATTTCTTAGCTTTCCTTTTCCCTTTTCCTTCTAAAATCCCTCACTTCTACAAACAACTCCTGTTACTATTAGGTTGATGCAAAAGTCATCGCGATTTTTGCCATTTAAAAGTAACGGCAAAAGCCATGATGACTTTTCCACCAGCCTAATACTTATCACTGGACCCTCCCATTCCTTTTTTTTTTTTTGAGACGGAGTTTCGCTCTTGTTACCCAGGCTGGAGTGCAATGGTGCAATCTCAGCTCACCGCAACCTCCGCCTCCTGGGAACAGGCAATTCTCTTCCCTCAGCCTCCTGAGTAGCTGGGATTACAGGCACGCACCACCATGCCCAGCTAATTTTTTGTATCTTTAGTAGAGACGGGGTTTCACCATGTTGACCAGGATGGTCTCGATCTCTTGACCTCGCGATCCACCCGCCTTGGCCTCCCAAAGTGCTGGGATTACAGACTTGAGCCACCGCGCCCGGCCCCCTCCCATTCCTAAGCTTCCTCCCCAAGTCCATCTGCGCTTTTACAGACACTCAACTCACAGGGTCTTTGGGCATAAGGAATTCTCACATGAACTTTGGCACTACTGGGGGCAGGAATCTGCATTTATAGTCACTAGAAAATAAGTCCAAGTGTCCCTCTCTTTTCACATGCTGAAATGGGCAGCTGAAAAGATAATGAGGAACATTTTAGATGTCCTGACAACAGAGGAGGCGTGCCAGCCTCTTTTGTCTCAAACAGTTTGCTGTGCGAAAAGCAAAGGGCAAAACTGGGAGGCATTTAGGGCTGGGGCAGGTAACCAGCTTGGACATCTAGAACCCGAAGGCCAGGAGACGTCTTGCTTCAGGCATGTATAATCCCACTTTCAGAGCATCTGTGTCTTTCGGACTGCAGGTCCTAACCCTGGATTTTTTTTGCTTCCTCTAGCAATCAACTAAGTTCAATTGAACAAATATTCATTGAGCATCTACTACGTGCCAAGCATTGACAGAGTCCATGAAGAACACAAAGGAAATGTGTGGCACATCCCTACCCTCAAGTTCACAGTGAGGCTGGAATGACAGTAAGCAAACCTGCGAAACGTTCACGGGTCATATGAGACAGGAAGGAAGTCAGAATATCCAATGCAAAATGAGAGTGAAAGAGGCTGTCTAGGTGGGGACAGCTCATTCACAAGCCACATGCAACCCATGCACAACCCACACACGACCCAGCACAGCCCACGCACAACCCACGCACAGCCCACACACGACCCAGCACAACCCACGCACAACCCACACACGACCCAGCACAACCCACGCACAACCCACACACGACCCAGCACAACCCACGCACAACCCACACACGACCCAGCACAACCCACGCACAGCCCACGCATGACCCACGCACAACCCACGCACAACCCACGCACAGCCCACACAGGACCCAGCACAACCCACACACGACCCAGCACAACCCACACACAAAACCCAGCACAACCCACACACGACCCAGCACAACCCACACACAACCCAGCACAACCCACGCACGACCCACACATGACCCAGCATGGCCCACGCACAGCCCACGCACAACCCAGCACGACCCACGCACAAATATTTTTGGAGGGACCTCAAATGGGCATTTATAATCTGCTACAGGAAACATATGACACAAAAGATCAAGAAAGCATTTTCCAGAGCAAAGCCCAGCAAAGAACTTCTCTGATGTTTTTTAGTGTAAAGATAATTGATGTTATCTAGCAAATTAGCAATTTGTAAAGTTGGAATTTCCAAAAGGAAATACTTGGAGTTGAGATGACCTTCCACTTCCCAATTTCAAGTCATATGATCTCAAGTATAAAATACCCTTTGGTACAGACCTAGCCAGAAGAGCTGGTTCTGAACAGATTTTTTTTCTTCTGGCTAGAACTGAAGAGATAACAGAGGCGAAAACGAGGGCAGCTGATTGCTTCCACTTCAGAAAAGAGCATTACATATGACACTGTCATGTTTCTAGTGCGTACACACCTCCTGTACAGAGATGTTGCCACCTACTCCTGTTTAGTCAGGGGGTCTGACACTCGCGGAATAGACAGTGGTTTTCAAACCAGGTTCCGATTGTAATTTACGGAGCTTTACAAAATATGGTTGTCTGTTCCTACCTCCAGAGACTTCCGTTGGTTTAAGGTGGGGCCCAAGGCATTGATATTTTAAACAAAACTTTCTGGCGTCTATTAAGGCACAGCCTGATTTGAGAACCACTGTTTAAAGCCTAGAAGGTTAACCATCTGGGGTTGCTTGAATCCTCTCTAAAGCTCTGGACTGGGCAAACGGATTCTGTGCCTTCCCACTCTGTAGTGCTCTTTGATTTGCTATTTTTAATTTAGTATTTGAAAAACACATCCAGCCTCAAATGGATTGACCTTTCTGCTAATGTATTTCACCTAAATTAACAGAGGCAATTAGCTAATTTATATTGGAATTGTGCACTTTCCAGTTCACATTTATCAACTCTTAAATGCTTGATCTGGTGTTGCCGTTTAAATTTTTTATTATTACCCTTTAAATCTGAAGTAATGTCTTACATCTAATTAGCCAAACTTACATATTCAATTAATAGATTCGTTATGGGCTAATGAATATGGAGGCAGCACTAGGGCAACATCTGCCTGCCAGTTGGAATGACTGAAACTTCTCTGCTCTGAAGAAAGGAGAGACTCTGTTCTATAACTTAAATAGCTGATTTTTCCATTTTAACACTTCTAAGGTACTATACTGTTCTTAAGGACTTTTATGGACCTGCCAACATAGGAAAGACAATTTGTTGTCCAGAGAAACATGCCCTTGTAGAGGAATCTGAAATCCAAAATTGAAAAAAAAAAATACACATCTGAAGACATTTTCAGTATAAAAATGTAGAAATCTAGATGGTCGCCAGATCATGGAGTTTTTCTAACTTATGTTTCTCAAAACAAACTCAGAGAGAAAATCATCACAAACTAAACAAAATCTTTAATTTAGTATACTTTAGGACCACTCCAGAACTCACTTGATTTCACAGATTTCAAGATATCTCCAGACATAATTTCAATAATTTAATATTCTATGGTCAGTGATATTTGGAATCTAGATAACTCAGATCTAAAATGAATTTATGTAATATAATCAATTATTCAAATTCTGGCTTATTTATCTGATTATAAAGTAATAGTCATTTTTAGGGAAAGGTGGGTGAGAGCTAGTATTCACTTGAAAAATTATTTTTAAAGAGGGACTGGACCGGGAAGGTATAAGCAGTACCTGAGTAGGAAGTGTGACCGCCCTAATACTCATGCTAGAGAGGGCACTGCGGTTATAAATACACAGAAAGCAAATTTAATAAGGAATACATGGGACCCCCTGTCACTTGCGATCTGATACAGGCTGTTCAGACGTGTGCATCATCTCTAACCCTAAACAACCGCTGTCAGAACTAACACTGATCAGGTCCCGAGGAAGTGCTCTTCCTCATCTCTGGCCTTGTGTTCAGAAAAAGAAAGCCAGCATCCTTCGCAGGGAATACTGGGAAGATCATTAGAGTGTGGGGCATCACCATGTGAGCAGTGTGAGTACGGCGCTGAGAGAAAAGCATGTTAATGAACTTGTCATATCCTTCCTCTCAGATAGCCTGAAAGCACCCGACTCTTCCAAAGTGAGAATTATTTCCCAGGGGTGCCATGCTGAGTGTCTGGATTTCCTTGCTTCTCTTTGTGTTCTAGTTGATGGTTTCTGGGGTAGTCCCAAATTAACATGGTCTCAGTAGTAGGGACTGAGGAATATTTTGCAATATTAAACAATAAAATACTCTTACGTTTGTATATATGTAGGTGTGAATTTGACCTTTTACATTGGCAACTAGGTACACATTAAATTCTAGAATTGCTAATAGTATTATTCTTAAGAAATGTTTTAGAAGAAGTCCTTACATTAAAGAAAAACTGAATACAAAACATATTTCAGTAATTGTATTTAAATTTGGCACTCATGAATTTTAATTTCTATTTTGCCTCTTAATTTTGATTAAAAAATTAAAATATTTTAGAAAAACTTTTAAAACTATCAGGGAAATAATGTAATAATTCTATTTTTAATCCACATCACTGATGAAAATATTTTCATATTTGCATATTTTATATATAATTCATTTTCCCTGAAATTATTACCATATTACAAAATTATGTAAAAACCTATAACAATATAGTGATTTGATGAAATAAATGCAAAAATTGCATTTTATTGAGTAAGTGTGTAATTTATGAGTTATGTATATCTTTGTTACTTACGCAAACATTGCTGGCACACCAGCAGAACAATAGGACACACACAGTCATAATTAAATTAAGCAGTCTTGATAGTTTTTTTTTTTAGTCAAGTTAAAAAGTATAGCTTTACATATTTAAACATTTTGCCATCATAAGGGTCTATTTGTCAAAGCAGAAGAGGACATTATATTTAACAGTCTGTTAGTTTAAGATTTTAAAATACTGGCTGGGTGTGGTGGCTCAAGCCTTTAATCCCAGCACTTTGGGAGGCCGAGGCGGGTGGAGCATGAGGTCAAGAGATCGAGACCATCCTGGTCAACATGGTGAAACCCCGTCTCTACTAAAAATACAAAAATTAGCTGGGCATGGTGGTGCGTGCCTGTAATCCCAGCTACTCGGGAGGCTGAGGCAGGAGAATTGCCTGAACCCAGGAGGTGGAGGTTGCGGTGAGCCAAGATTGTGCCATTGCACTCCAGCCTGGGTAACAAGAGTGAAACTCCGTCTCAAAAAAAAAAAAAGATTTAAAAATACTTAAATGTTGGCGTCTGGGTCTCTGTCTGTCTTTTTTTCTCTCTCAAACATTAGGATTTGGCCCAGATACGAGGAGATGCTTTTCTCTGTAGGCTCAAGAGATTGATGTTTCTCTGTACCCTGATTCCCTGTACCTTTTCAGAGGTAATGAGTTTGCCCTGTTTTCTTCGTTGCTTGTCCTATAATAACCATTCTGCATACAGTTGTCCCTAGGTATCCACAGGGGATTGGTTCCAGGACCAGTGACACCAAAATTCATGGATGCTCAAGTCCCTGATAGAATTTGGCATAGTATTTGCATTAAAAATATGCACATCCTCCTATATACTTGAAATCATCTTTAGATTCCTTATAATACCTAACACAATGTAGTTGTTATGTAAAGAGTTGTTTTACTATATTGTTTAGGGAATAATGACAAGAAAAAAAAGACATCAGCCTGGGGAACATGGCAAAACCCTGTCTCTACCAAAAATACACAAATTAGCCAGGTATAGTGGCATATGCCTATAGCCCAGCTACCTGGGAGCCTGAGGTGGGAGGATTGCTTGAATCCAGGAGTTTGAGGCTGCAATGAGCTGTGAGTGTGCCACTGCACTCCAGCCTGGGCAACCAAGTGAGACCCTGTCAGAAAAGAAAAGAAAAGAAGGGAAAAGGAAAGGGAAAAAGGAGAGGGGAAGGGAGGGGAGAGGAGGGGACAGACAGAACCATCATTTTTGTTTTACAGAGTATTTTCCATTCAAGTTTGGTTGATTCCATGGATGCAGAATCCATAGAGGGAGGGCCAACAATATTTTTTAAGCTCGCTCTGAAAAGATTTGCAAAGTAGTTCCAGAAACTTGTTTGAATTTGAACTCAGTACATTCATTGGCTCTTTGTTTTTAAGTGGTTTTTAATGTATTGTTAACAGGCCGTGTCAACATTGTTGTTGTTTTCCATATCTCAATAATTTTGTGTGTGTTTGCCTTGTTAAATAATTGAAAGGACACTGGACCAGGACCCAGGAAACCCAAATTTGATTCCTGATTATTGTCTTATGCGGTATGTTGAACCACTGTAAATATCTTCAACTTCCCAAGAGAAATTGTCATCTCCCAATAGAAAATGTCAATGGTAATGTCAGCATATTTTTGTAAGAACATGCAAAAGCTTATATTAGAGAATCTGCTTTTTTTTTAACTGCAAAAGGAAAATAACTATGTTGCAAAGCTATTCCCAGAACTGTGGAATAAAGAATTAGGGCACTGTTGAGCTAAACAAGTTGTAGTATAAGTGAGAAATGATTATTAAACCTTCATAATCCAACAAAAACCACCCACAGCACCATTAGGGACTAAAAGCATAAAGATGCATGAATCATTGTTTCACATCAAGGAGGTTTCTGTGCATAGTGATTGACGGTCTTGTCCCTGAATAGGTGTGCAGTGCTGTGGAGAGCCGAAAGAGAAAGTGCTATGTCCACATGGGGATCAGAAGGATGAAATTTACCTGGACCTGCATGACAGACAGGAAGGAACACAGGTAAGACTATTGCCTATGTCAAAAGACTGGGGCAAATTTTGGAAAAGTTTGAGTACAGTGTAGCACACCTGTGGAGGAAAACCTAGGACATAAGCCAGCCTAGATGACAAGCTAAGAAATTGGTTTAGGCAGAAGTGGGAGCTAGAGCAAATCAGCTCACATGCTCTCTGGGTCTTCTGTTTACACTGTAGTATTACAGGGGTTAGAAGGTAGCAAGTCCCAGAGAAGCGCGATGTGTAAGTCACAGCCATTCAACATTGTACACAGCTAGGCAAAAGCAGAGAAAGTTCCGAAAGGTGTGCGCATAGAATCAAAGGATCCTCAGGCATGGGAGAAATTCCTAGAACTATAGGAAGAGTTAGAAGTTGAAGAAAAACAAAGGGCTGTGAGATGCCCAAAGGTGCTCACTCACACCGCAGTGGCTACAGCACCCTGCAAGACACAACGTGGTCTCTGTTAACCCTTTCCTTATCAAGTCCTGCACCTTCTATTTCACTGTTATCCCCCATGGGGTCCCTTCTCTCACATCTAATGCTACTGCCGTGGCCGTGGTCCTCTGGATCTCTAGAACAGCACACGCAGCTCTGCCAAGTTTCGCACCGATGAGAACGAATTTCGGTTAAAGTGAAACGGTGCCAGGTCAGCTCCTGTGGGATATGAGAAGAATGCTCTGAGCCACCGAGGGAGGAAGAGGATGCCTGGACTACTGAGAACTTGTCCTTACTACTTCGGGACCTGACCAACTTCAGTACACCCTCTGTGCTGCCACAAGAGAAAAACTGGAAGCAGGTGATTCAATCAAGTCCACCCAGACACTTAGAGGTCATCTTTTCCTGGCTTTCCCAAACTTATGTCCTCATCTGCAAATGAAACAGGTCCCCAGGACCCTCCTGGGCCTACTGCGTCAGTCTCCAAGGAAGGGCCCAGGATTCCGTGTGTCTAATGACCTGAAATCCCCCAGCAGATCCCTGTGCTCAGGCTGTCTGGGGAAGCACTGATAGATCCCACCACCTTTACCACAGATGAAGAAACTCAGATCCTGGGAGACACATCAGTTGCAGAAGTCCAGAAAACCAGGGCCAGGAGCAGAATGGAGACTGGAAAGCAGAATAGCTGTGGACGAAACTGTAGACCTCATCCTCATCTCACTAGTGTGAGATTCACCTTGGGCTCCTGGGAGTGTGGGACCCTGGCAGTGGGCAGCCTCCCTCTCTCACTCCTTCAGCCCTGTGGGTCATCTCACTAGTGTCTGTGCCAGAGCCCCATCTGAGATTCACCTTGGGCTCCTGGGAGCGTGGGACCGTGGCAGTGGGCAGCCTCCCTCTCACTCCTTCAGCCCTGTGGGTCATCTCACTAGTGTCTGTGCCAGAGCCCCATCTGAGATTCACCTTGGGCTCCTGGGAGTGTGGGACCCTGGCAGGAGGCAGCCTCCCTCTCTCACTCCTTCAGCCCTGTGGGTCATCTCACTAGTGTCTGTGCCAGAGCCCCATCTGAGATTCACCTTGGGCTCCTGGGGGTGTGGGACCCTGGCAGTGGGCAGCCTCCCTCTCACTCCTTCAGCCCTGTGGGTCATCTCACTAGGGTGTGTGCCAGAGCCCCATCTGAGATTCACCTTGGGCTCCTGGGAGCGTGGGACCGTGGCAGTGGGCAGCCTCCCTCTCACTCCTTCAGCCCTGTGGGTCATCTCACTAGTGTCTGTGCCAGAGCCCCATCTGAGATTCACCTTGGGCTCCTGGGAGTGTGGGACCGTGGCAGTGGGCAGCCTCCCTCTCACTCCTTCAGCCCTGTGGGGCCACAACAGCTGTGACTCTTGAGCAGTGGAAAGGAAGAAGGAGAGGAAAATCCTGGACTGTGTTGCTACTGAGGAACCAGGATCAGGCAGAGCCTGGGGTACCTTTGCATCCAGCTTCTATTTGTCCAGAGACAGCTGAAGATGAGCAAGATCCACCTACGGGCAAAACCGTGCGCCCAGCAGTGCTTATCCCTGGAGCTTCCGGCTCTCCTTTTTTGCTTCCTGCCTCCCCTGACGCGGGCCCTTGCCTCTGCTTGCCCAGTGTCTCCTGTGCTCAGCCTTTTCCTCCACACACCCGTAGAAACGTCTTGTGGCCGTTTGTCCGTACTTTGAAAGCCGTTTTGCTTGGCTTGCTATTTGCTCTCTGCAGCCTTTCCACCTGCTCTGAACCCTAAAAGAATAAGGAACTTCAGATAACTGTAGTGGTGAAAAAATATTTGTAATAGGGGACCAAGAATCCCAGCTTGCCCTTGAAATCATAATTTTAGGATTGCCTTAAAATGTTGTTCAGCCATTCAACACACATTTACCGAGCAGTACCTGTATAAAGCACCGTGTTAAATGTTTGGCAGTCAGGAGAGAGGAAGGGGAATTCGTTGAAAAATGAACCAGCCCTGGTCCTTCCCTTTGAGCTGCCCACAGTCTGGTGAGGATACAAATTCCAAGAGCTAACACGGTATGATGGAGACATCCATAACACAGATAGGAGCCTGGGGAGGGGTTAGTTAACCTCTGGTTCAGGACAAGGCTTTACAGAGAGGCTACAATTGAATTCGAACTGAAGCATAAGATGGTTTTCACTTGGGTGTTAATAGGATGAAGGAAGCCGCATATATAAGGTAGCAGATACTGGGAAAAGTTTGTCATGTTCAAAGGGAAAAAACAAAACAGAAGATAGGAATGGAAAGAGAGAAGAATGAATGGTAAGGAGTAGATGGAAATGATGCTTATAAAGTAGGTTGGTAGGTAAGTAATGTAACAGACTTTCCCAAAGATGGCCTCATCCACATATACTGCACCCCACGGTATGGAGCCTGCATTCCCTCATCCAGAGGCGAAGTGTCCTTGCCGGGCTCCACACATCACAGAGCAGTAACAAGTCATCCTGCTGTATTCGGCCCAAAAGTCTACCACGGTAGCCATGAGAGGTCATGAATCACTATCGTTTGAAGCCACTAAATGAGTCTTTATACAGCAATAAAGTAACAGATACCAGCCATGTCAGGAGTTGCTTGTTGGGAGAAATCACGTTTTTTCTTTATAGATTAAAACAAACAAACACTGGCGAACCAGTGAAGCTGTGTTCATCAGGGAATGGCCTAAGAATTACAAGTGAGAAAGACAGGCCTGGGGCAATATGGAAATAGGTGGTGGGGAAGGGCTGCTTGGAGACTGGGACACTGTGAGGAGGCTGTCAGAGTTACCCAGGCCAGGCAGAAGGGATGGCACGGCCGGAAAGCCATTTCCATTTGTAAGGAATACTTTCTTAATTTTCGTTTTGTTTTTAAGTCTTTTACTTTCATGTAACCAAAAAGTGAGAAGCAAAATGCTTGAGCTGATTCTCTACCACTTCCAACTGTGAAGAATCATCTTTTTTCTCTGCTCCCTTAGATCCAGATCCTAGACGTTTAGAGTCCATTGTCACGATGCCCTCATTCCTCTCTGATGCTGTCTAGTGGCAAAAAAAAACAACAAAAAAAAACAAATAAAAAAACCCCCAAAAACTTGCTCCTCTGAATTGGTTTCTTTCTCCGTTTCTTCTCTCCACATTTGAGGGTCATGATGTCAGTCTCATCACCTAGACTCTGCTGCCTCTAGGCCATCCAGCTTCAGAAGGAACATTAGTTCCTGGGTTCTCTAGGGGGTGTGGCAGGACATACTTGAGTGAAAGAGCATCTCAAGTGTTGGGGAAGTAGATCCAGCCTTTTTAACACAGACGAGTATAACAACAAAATTTATGAGACTTACATGATTAATACTGTCACAGGACAGGGGTCCCGATTCAGACCCCAAGAGAAGGATCTTAAATCTCCTGCAAGAAAGAATTGAGGGCGCGTCTGCTGTGCAAAGTGAAAGCAAGTTGATAAGAAAGCAGAGGAATAAAAGACTGACAGACAGAGCTCTACAGACAGAGCATCTCCGAGGGCTGCTGGTTTCCCATTTTAATGGTTATTTGTTGTTGATATGCTCAACAAGGGGTGGATTATTTATGCCTCCCCTTTTTAGACCGTATAAAGTAACTTCCTGCCTTCATGAGGTCACTCTTGTGGCCATCTTGGTTCGGGTGGGTTTTGGCTGACTCCTTTACTGCAAACTGTTTTATCAACAAGGTCTTTATGACCTGTGTTTTGCACTAACCTATCTCATCCTGTGACTTAGAATGCCTTCACTGTCTGGGAATGCAGCCCAGGAGGTTTCAGCCTCATTTTACCCAGCTCCTATTCAAGATGGAGTTGTTTCGGCTCACATGCCTTTCATATGACTGCATCCTATTTGACGCCAAAGATGATTGTATGTCCTGAAGGAATAATCGTGTATTTATGGATACAGGTGGTTTAGTTGCATAAAGCAGTGTGAATTGTATGACAGCCTTCACCACCTAGAGCAGGACTCTCTAATGGCTACCACTGTCTAGTGTACGTGGTACAGTGCAAACGTCTAAGGGATATTTGGGAAAGTGAAGCAGGCCAAAAAGAAAATGAATTAAATTTTTTCTCTACTTCATTTATGCTTTATTCTCCCTGCTCAATAATAAACTCATCTCTACATTTAAGAATCGTTGGCAATAAAATCTTACATTCATTGTCGTGCATTCTTTCTCATCTTACTAGGATATTTTATTCCACTTCTCTAGAATGTATTGAGCAATTTCTTTCTACCAGAATCTTACTCATTATCTTACTTAGTCCTCACGTCGAGTCCACAGTCTTATTTTTAGTTTCCGTGTTACAGTTAAGGCAACCTTGCCAAGCTAAGTGACATGCTCAAGGTTGAATAGCTCATCATGATAAAGCAGAGCCTTCAGGCTAGATAGTTTGACTTTCCAATTCAGAATGCTTTTCGCTACATGCCAGAAAATGTGGTAGATTTAGGCCATAGCTCTACAATGACAGTCACTGAAGGCAAAGTGCACAGTTATAATCATTTAATTTGTTTTTATCCACAAAGTGACACAGTGACCGATCATATTCAAACGGGTGGATGACTGTTCGGGCGGCCTTTCGCTAGTCCCGTGCGAGGATCTACCCCGGATCTCAACCACTCTACTAGGTCATGAACACTTGGCAGGTGTCATGATACTTAACAACCCAGATTCTGGAACCAGTTATCCGGCTCAGACCCTAACTCTGCCACTTGTTATTTCTGTGACGTGGAGCAACGATTTAACCTCCCCGTGCTTTAGTTCCTTTGCTCTTAAAATGTGGGTAACAATAGTGCTTCTCTCTCTCTCTCTCTCTCTCTCTCTCTCTCTCTCTCTCTCTCTCTCTCTCTTTTCTTTTTTTGGTTAAATGACTTAATATGGATATAGTACTTGGAACCTTGCCTGGAACACAGTAAACGCTAGTTAAGCATTAGACATTATGATTATTGTAGTCGCCATGACCACGATTCCAAGGAGCTAACAGAAATAAATAAATAATTATGGACTGGGCACGGTGGCTCACACCTGTAATCCCAGCACTTTGGGAGGCCGAAGCCAGCAGATCACCTGCGGTCAGGGGTTTGAGACCAGCGCAGCCAACATGGTGGAACCCCATCTTTACTAAAAATACAAAAATTAGCTGGGCATGCTGATGCGTGCCTGTAATCCCAGCTACTCAGGAGGCTGAGACATGAGAATCACTTGAACCCAGGAGGCGGAGGTTGCAGCGAGTGGAGACTGTGCCACTGCACTATAGCCTGGGTGACAGAGCAAGACTCTGTCTCAAAAAAATAATAAATAAAATAAAATAATTATGAAATCAGCATGGCAATTTAATACCACACATTTATATGCACATGTACGTGTGGATATATGTATTTATCACTTTTTTAATAGCCACAATTTTCAGTCAAGATTTAAGGGTTTCCATTGTCTGATACGTGAAGACTTGAAGAATCTCTTTGTCCCTTTGATCATCATGGTTGCTAGACAAAATAAGTGATGACTTGTACTAATCTGCTAGGGCTTCCATAACAAAATACCATAGTTGGGACAGCTTAAAAAAACACAAATTTATTTTCTCACCATTCTGCATGCTGAAAGTCCAAGATCAAGGTGTTGGCAAGTTTGGCTTCTTTTGAGGCTTATGTCATTGGCATGCAGATGGCTGGGCTGCCATCTTGTGCCTCTTCACGTGGTCTTTGCTCTGGGCATATACCTACCTGGTATTTCTCTGTGTGCCCAGATTTCTTCCTCTTCTTCTTCTTCTTCTTTTTTTTGAGATGGAGTTTCGCTCTTGTTACCCAGGTTGGAGTGCAATGGCGCAATCTCGGCTCACTGCAACCTCCGCCTCCTGGGTTCAAGCAATTCTCCTGCCTCAGCCTCCCAAGTAGCTGGCATTACAGGCACGCGCCACTGTGCCCAGCTAATTTTTGTTTCACCATGTTGACCAGGATGGTCTCCATCTCTTGACCTCGTGATCCACCCACCTCAGCCTCCCAAAGTGCTGGGATTATTGGTGTGAGCCACCATGCCTGGCCCAGATTTCTTCTTCTTATAAGGAGACCAGTCAGATTGGATTAAGGTGACCCTAAGGACCTCGTTTTAACTCAATCACTCTTTAAAAGTCTTGCCTCCAAACATAGTTACATTCTGAGATAGAGGGTTTAGGATTTCAACATATGAACTAAGGTGAAGGCAAGGGCACAGTTCAGTCCATACATGTCTATTTAGCCTATTTTATCTTGCTGTATCTTCTGGGTGGAAGCTGTGATCTTTCACCCGTGTTATATAATTTCCTAGGATCACCCAGGGATATTGTCCATGGCAGGAGAAGACTTGCATAACACGTGGTTGAAATATGGTGGTTTGTAAAATCCTCTTGGCCTTCCGGCTAGATTGCTGAGTTCTAGGGGAAGGTAAGAGAGAAGCAGAGCCAGCCCTGAGGGACACCTGTGTGCCTTGTCATTGTCCTGTCTGCATATATGCAACATATAACCAGATGATAATCAGAAAGTGGGTCTCCTGGAAAACACCAAGGGTAATCCGTATGTTTTCTGTGGATTTATTTTATTTTTAGGGTCTTGCTCTGTTGCTCAGGCTGGAGTATAGTGGTGCGATCAGAGCTCCTGGTAACCTTGAACTCCTGGGCTCAAGTGATCCTCCCATCTCAGCCTCCTGAGTGACTGGCACTACAGGAATGCACCACCGTGCCCCGCTAATTTAAGAAAAAACGTTGTAGAGACAGAATATTGCTATTTTCCAAGCTAGTCTCAAACTCCTGGCCTCAAGCGATCCTCTCATCTCAGCTTCCCAAAGTGTTGGGATTACAGGCACGAGCCACCACACCCACCCTATGGTTTTACTTCGAAGTGTTCTGATCATTTAACTGGAAAATTGCTCTAAGTTGACTCTTTTAGGGAATTCATGAGAGTCCCTGAACAGAAAGAAAAGGAAGAAGATTGAAGGGAGTGGCTAAGAATGGGATGGCAGAGCGAGGAGACCCCTGATTCACGTCTTTTCTATCTGTCGACGCTGACGTGCAAGAACGTTTCTCTAACGGCGCAAACTCCTGCACTGGACTTAATCAACCGACTAACCGTTCTATTACTCAGCTTCTGCCTGCCATAACATCTTTAAGGCGGCTTGACTCTCCTTGGTGGCAGCCATGAGCAGGTTGGCAACGGAGGCAGGAGACTACCACTGGATATTAGTTATTAATGGCCTACGGTTACACAAAGGAAGTTTTATCAGTTACTGATAACCTGAATTAATTCAAAGGGTGCCACATCGGGAGGAAGGGTTCCAGTGCTGGAACTGCTTCCCATGCAGCAGTGATCTACTTTTAGCCTGTGGGATAAGGAGGATTCACAAACACTAAGTTTATTTGAAGTGACTGTGACTGCATTAGAGGGAGGTCTGGCAGAACTGTGCGACCGAGTCATTCTCAAACTTGCTGGTGTGGTATTGTCAGTCTCATTTACAAACCAAGTGCATCTTCCTCTGACTACTGCATACATCTTCCAAAACTCCTACCTAGACCTTCTCCAAGGAAGAGGTAGCTGGATAACCTGCTGGTTGGTCTCTAGTAAAGTTTCACCTAATTTGAAAGTGGCTTTACTCTAACATATTAATGTAAGGAGAGGCTCTGTAACTAGGGCAATGGGGCGGTGCAGTTCAGTATCAGCAAGCTTCAAAATGATCTTGTCTGATTTTCTCTGTTTTTCCCGAATTCACTGACTTCATACATTCTTGTCCTACTATTTAACTTAAATAGTTTCATTTCTAAAGTCAGTGTCCTTTTTGATCGATAATACTTGCTGCTTCTTCATTTTTTATTCTTTGTAAGATTTTTATCCACTTAAAGAAAGAAGTGAATCCCTCAATTTTTTCATTTCCTCTTTTCTAACCTGTCTCCCTGTAATAACATAGGAGAAAAATGAGTTTCATTTATCTGGCT